CTCTCTCTCTTTCTCTCTCTCTCTCTCTCTCTCTCTCTCTCTCGCTCTCTTTCACTCTCTTTCACTCTCTCACTCTCTCTTTTGCTTCTTCCAATGTATTTTATATTACCATTGCTCAATCCTTTTCTGGCGAAATATGACCATTTTCTCTCACTCGCTATAAACTATTACTGTTCTCAAAGGTCTGCATTCAAGTTCAGCACAAATCTTTTGTTTGTGAATTATGCTTACGTCTTTTGTATGTTGTCCAATAGGGAGGTAGACAAGAGAACCAGCAAGTGGACATGAACAAAGCCCAGACAGATGCCCAGGTAGGTACACAAAGCATTGTCAGTTGTGCAGTGTGAAGGCCACATTCAAAGTGCATTGATTAAGTTTTAAATATTTATGGTGGAGTGTTCAAATCCGAGTCATGAAAACATGTCCCAGTATGAAATCAGAAACTATAAAAATCTTCAAATGTCAATTTACTTTGGTTTATTTCTGTCTAAGGCTTGAACAAGTTGTTTTTTTAAAACAAAAATGTTCACTAAAACATGTCTTTGGGTCAGTTGATACCTTTCATTGGGGTTGTTGTTTTTTTGGGATTATTGTATAACTTTAGGCTTGGACACTGAAAATTCACATGGTTTCAAATTCAAATGCTCAAGAGGAATCATGTGAAGGCCACACAAGAAAGAAGCTCAGTTTTTCTACGTAATTGCATTATAAATGTTTTAAATTTAAAAATCCAGTATTGATATATATATATGTATACACAGTCGAACCTGCCCTGACGGCCACCTCTATAAGACGGCCACTTTCCATTTCCCCCCTTGTTGACCAATAGGTAACAAATTTCCAGCTGCTGGTGAGGTAAGCGTGTGATAACTCATAACCCATAAGCCCCACCCAGAACTCATACACAAATCGTCACTGAGATGAGTGGTCACTGTTTACCCAGTCTGTAACAAAGTAACAATGGACGTCAACATGAACTTGTGACAGAAGCTTCGCTCGTTCTTCGAGTGGTGGGGACCCATGTGTTTGTTTTGCCATAGCTCTCGGTCGTCCTTGTCTGACACATTTTGTTTTATTGTCGCCCTTGCGCAAAAGCAGCAACAAAATAAAAAAAAGAAGAAAAAAAAACAAACAACTATAGCAACAACAACAACTATGCGGCGACCTCAGAAAGGAAGGGTTTGTATTCTTCATTTTGATCAGTCCTGCCTAAGACGGCCACCTGTCTTATACGGCCACTTTTCTCTTTGACAATGGGTGGCCATCTTACATAGTCATATATATTATATATGTATACTCTTGTAATGTCAGTTTTCAGACCACCAAAAAAGATGATGAAAGTGCTTGCCTCATTTTGTTAAGATAATGAATCAAATATTGTGCACATGTTTAGACTTTAAATTTATTCAATTCCTATGTTTATTTACTCTGAATTTTCAAGTACTGTCTTTCATGTGCCGTGCCTTGAAAGTGATCTTTTGAATTGCTACTGTGTGCAGAGAATGTTTCTGTAGTGTGTATCAATGTATTTTTCATATGTTTTTGTTCCTTTGCACTGACAGCGCCTGTACCAGGCAGGTGAGAAGAGATGGGGTACGGACGAGAACACTTTCAACATGATCCTGGCCTCCCAGAGCTATGAGCAGTGCCGAGCCGTGTTTGATGCCTACAGCCAGGTGTCCAAGCATGACATTGAGCAGGCCATTCGGAACGAGATGTCTGGTGACGTTTCTTCTGGCATGCTGACCATCAGTAAGCTTTGGTTTGGTTTGTTTGTTTTTCGGGGGG